AAAAAAAAAAAAAAAAAAAAAAAAAAAAAAATCCCAGCATCCTGGATGCAGCCTGACAGTTGGTTGCTCCCAGCACATCTCAGCTCTGCTAGGCCTGCACGTTCCCCTCTGTGCTGTTGTCATTTCCTTCTGCCCTAGCCTTATAACGTGAGCATCAGCAGCAGAACGAACAACAGAGGCCAGGAAGGTCTCTTACTTACATTAAAAAACAGGTTATCTCAGTCAACTACGTTGGCAGAAACCAGGCGTGCGTTTTCTGGGGAGGAAAAAAAGCATGCGCACTCGCCAACCGGAAGGCCACAGCCCAAGCCCTACTTTTTGGGCTGCCTATCTTAACATCAAACACACCATAAGGAAAACTGGGAGAAACTTTGCCTTACAACCCTCCGCAAGAATGAATAAAATCCCATGCCAGTGAAATACCGGTAATGGCATCCCCCTTGTGGGGGAAGGTACACCTCTAGGAGAGGTGACAGGGAAATGCTGGGGAAGGCACTGGTGAATCCCCACTTGGTAATGTACTTGTCACAGGGAGGACCGAAATATACAATTCTGCTTCCCCATCAGCCCCGGGGCAAGCTCAAACACGTCCAGGGACATAGGGGTCCCGTCGCAAAGTACTACACCCTGCTTTATCATCCAACCTGGTCCCAGGACACTATTCAATGGGCAATTAAGATTTATAATCCAAATGGTCTCAAAATTTTATCTCTAGGAAGTCGGGTCCAAATTAAATCAGACCAGGCTTTTAGGCTTCCCACGAGCACATTTTCCCTTTCAAGAGAGCACATTTCAACACTCAGAACTTCTTCTCTTACAGACCATTTTCAAGGCCAGCTCTGGATGCCATCTCCTAAGCCATATCTGATATACAAAATGAGAAAGGAACTTGGTGAACTCCAAACCTCAGAGAAAGATGTTAAGGGAGAGACTGAGCTCCTTCAACAGATTTCAAAAAGTTCATTATTTTTAACCCCCCCCGCCCCGCTTCCAGTAAATATTACTGGAACTTCTCTTAATACAACATACACATAGCACCTTATGAAACAAAAATATCCAAAACTAAGTTATTGCATACGGAAAGCCTATAAAGCACACCCAGCAGGGCTTTGAAATACAGTGTATAAGGAATCCCTTCCCGCAAAGAATATACATATTTATGTTACTGACACATACAGTATACTTAAAACTTATTTTCAACTGTCCACTTCTCCCCGCGTTAGCAGCCCCAAGCCCGAGATACAGGTAACCCACAGATGGCCCAGCCCTGCATCTCCGATGTCTGACTTCTCCCCAGACTTGAGACAACATCCACGCCCCGACAGACACGTCTGGCCAGCCCCAGCCCGAGGTACCAGGAGAGAAGAAAAGAGAAAGAGCACCGGTAACTCACATTTCGGTGATGTTCTCAGGGTCTGCACTATTAGGCTCCAACCTCGGAAACGCCACGATGCCCGGAGAAGGGTCGCTGCACCAGATCCGAGAGGCGGTGCACTTGCAGGACGTGGGACAGGCGAGAGCGGCCCTCCAGAAGCCCACAACCAGCCAGCAGAAGCCCCAGAGCCGCGCCATGGCGGGTCCATGCCACCTCGTCCAGGACGACATCCCTAGCCTCCAGTGCCAGCCCGAGTCAGACTGAGTACGTGTCCCCGCGCTGCACCGGCCGGCTTCCCCTGCCCCTGCTGGGCGGCCTGTGCCGCGCTCGCCGCTCCCTCGCCCCGGTGTCTGTAGCGGGCGCGCAGAGCCTACAGTGGCCGGGGCTGAGCGTGTCCTGGCGGGCGGCACCGTTCACAGTGGCCGGGGCATCCCTGGCCGCCTCACAGGGGGCGCTACCGCCGCTCGGAGCTCCGCGGCGGCCGCCGCTGCATGGCCCGGCGCGCCGAGCACCGGCCGGCGGCGCTGCCGGCA